CCTCTGTCTGGGGGGATAGGGATCGTTAGTAATGGAGACTGATAATCCCATTGCTAGCAATATACCCAACCAGGTCGACCTCCTCGCGGTTCCGCCTGGAAACTATCATGGTTAATTCCTGATGAATTCATCATGATGGGCTAACTGGCCTGTTTTCATTCTCATCTATCACCCTTCACTGGTGCTCCGCCAGTGTATCCCGTTGGCGCAGGCGGGGTTACCATACCATTTTCACCAATAAAAAAAAAATGCCTCTGTCTCTCCCTATCTGGGAGTACAGTCGTGACCACTATCTATGTTCGATACATTGCACTAAATGTAGTGATTATTTACTCGATTCCATAAACAAGCCTTGTGAGTATTTGCAGTAGTAAGCAATGAAATTCAATTATGCAATTTAGCGCTATTCAAGTATAATAAGACCGTATATACATTGACGCAATATGTATGTTGCATTCTATCTTTTTGTTTTTATACAACTTAGAATGGCAAACAAGCTGACGGCCCACCTGATGAAAAGTGTCCCTTTGGTAAATTTATCTGTTCTCCTTTAACCAAAGGTTGTAAGAGATTGTCCTAGCGATAACACCGCCTTTTGTACCTTTAAGTGTATATTTTAATCTGTATTTATGTTAGTTTATTTCACTGGAATTGTTCAATTTTCATTGTATATTTTTGGTTATGGTGGCAATAAAGAGATAAATTAATAAATAAATGTTTGATGAAACGTGAAGTCTTAGAATAGCAAATAATTCATCTAATATAAATCTAAATACAAATGGATTTCACTACGTATATATTTATTCTATATTAGTGATCAGACCCGGCTTCGCATGAGTAGACAGAATTTTCAAAAATCAATACATATAATAAAAAAGTTTTCAATCAATTCAATCGATTAGTTATTTTATAGTATTTTATATGTGATTCTTTAGATCGATAAAACTTTTTTATTTATGAACCGATTGAAATAAAACAAAACACTAAATGTTAAGTAGAGCAAACCGCAACGCATTAGTGAAAACCGCATTCAAATCGGTTAAGCCGTATCTGAGATTAGCGTGCACACACGTACTGACAAATAGATAAACATTCTAAAAATCTATGTTTTGATTGTATTTAACTTGTTCTATTGCGTTAATAAAGTCGTATAATAGTTTTCCTTATATATTTTCCACAGACAGCGACTAGTTAAGATTTTATTATACGTATATATATATATATATCACATATCTGTCATAAAAAAACAATGATACACATACACATATCGCCAAAAATAAATAACAACGAAAAATATTTGAATTTAGAATATTGAAATAATAAAATAATATTTCAAATATGTAGGCGTTGTAAATCATAATTAATATTACTCAAATAATTTAATTTAAATTTAATATATTATAACATATATAAATAATAATTGAATAGACATTTAAATACAATACTATATTTATTTATTTATGACCCAATCTTTTTGCAGTTTATTATTATTAATGGTAATAATTTTTTTTTTCTTGTAAACCATAAATGCATTTTCTCATAGCATAAATAAAAAATTGTTTAGACTATTAAAAATTCGAAATTCAGAAGTAATTCGTAATATTTCCTCGTTGAATGAATGATAACGATGCACAGGCGTTGCAATATACATCTACTAGTACAAGTGCTGCCTAGTGTAATCGATATTGTTGTAATAGTCACAGGCATCAATCTCGCGTGCCGCACAACTCATCGCAAGATGTGAACGTCCTGTAAGACGCGATATCTAAATATAGTGAGTACTATTTCGGTGGACACCGCCATGTGGGTCGCAGGGAATGTTTCCGTGTTGGATAATTTCTTATAATCGTACTTACCGTTACCGGTACAAACTAAATTGTACCTTACGGTGATTGTAATAGTGTTTTTTTTCTTTTTTGATGGGTGAAAATGGTATGGTAACCCCGCCTGCGCTAACGGGATACGCTGGCGGAGCACCAGTGAAGGGTGATAGATGAGAATGAAAATAGGCCAGTTAGCACATCATGATGAATTCACCAGGAATTAACCATGATAGTTTCCAGGGGGAACCGCGAGGAGGTCGACCTGGTTGGGTATATTGCTAGCAATGGGATTTTTAGTCTCCATTACTAACAATCCCTTTTCCCCATCGCCTGCGCTATTGGTATACTTCGGTGGGGCACCAGTGAGGGATGATAAGTGAAAGTGAAAGAGCGGGTCAGTTAACCCATCGTGATAAAGATATCTGGAATTCAGCACGATGGTTTCCAGAGGGGGCCCCGTGAAGGTCGATCTGACGAGGTATATTGCTAGCAATGGGACTGGTAGTCCGCATTATTAACAAGCCCCCCCCCCCCTCTACGCTTCATCATGCCACCCCGTAACTATTCACTGCTGAATTTAAGCCTTCCCCAAAGAGCAAGTTTTGATAGTAGTCGCCACGCTTGGCAGGCAGGTTGGCAAACGCAGTTAGGCTTTTATGTTGTAAATATTAAATAAAACAAAGTTTAAAAATAAAAAAAAAAACATACGAAAGTATAAATTCATACTTTCGTCCGATTTTCAAAGGATGAGTTTCCCAATTAGAATACATTAATTTTCTAACACACAACATGGCGTCTAAGCTAATATTGCACCGATTCCCATGATTATTTTTGCAATTTCTAAGATATATTTCTGGAAAAAATACTGGCCAAGAAAGTAAGGCAATATAATTTGCATGTATATGTATGCACTTAAGTGTGTCCGGGGTGAGGGAGGGGGGAGGTTGCTGGTAATAAAGTTAAGCGGCTCCATTCCCAACGATATACCCAGTCAAATCCCTAGACACCATGGATAAACCACAGTGTAGTGAAAAGTAGTTCTAGGCAGTAGGCACTGACTGGCATGTGTACGCTGAAAACCAGCGCTGTGCAGCTGTACACATTGCGCTGGGACACACGCAGCATCAGCTGAGCCAGTTCCTTTTGCCTAATAAAGCAATGGGAACTAAGAATCCCATTGCTAGTAATATACCCAACCAGGTCGACCTCCTCGCAGTTCTCCCTGGAAACTATCATGTTTAATTTCTGATTAATTCATCGTGATGGGTTAACTGGCCTGTTCTCTTTCTTATCTATCACCTTTCACTGGTGCTCCGCCAGCGTATCCCGTTAGCGCAGGCGGGGTTACCATACCATTTTCACCCATCAAAAAAAAATTCCTCTCCTTCCTAAGGTTGGCTGGAAGAGATCGCTATCTAGCGATAAGGCCGCCCATTGTTGCCTCTTTATCTTGCTTTCATGTACCTAATTAATTATTCATTTTGTTTGTTTTTTTTTATACAACTTAGAATGGCAAACAAGCTGACGGTCCACCTGATGGAAAATGGTAACCGTCGCCTATAGACATGAACAGTACCATGGACATAACAGAGTATACTGTTTCGTCCATGATACGCCCCAGGCGTTGCCATTCCTGAGGACTCCCTGTAAATTCACGCCATATCCCACCCTTCAAACCGAAACACAGCCATGCAAACACAGCTGCTTCACGGTTGAAACACTAATGGGACAGAGGTACCCAAGCAATCGACTTTTGTACAATTCTGGTAATTGTTGTTATTTGTTTATAATCTGTATCATTCTTTAAAGGGAACGAACGGAATAAAGAGTTTTCATTCATTCATTCACTCGTATGTGAAAGAACAAGTTAGATCATGTCGTTATCTCATTCTATTACTAGTGTCGCTACCGATAACAATTCTATAGATAGATTCGTTTGCACTTTGTATTATTTGGTCTGAGTATCCTCATCTGAGTATCTCTCTGATGTCTCGCCAGCGTAAGCCATCAGCGGGAGCGTAGCCAGTTTTGTCAATATGACAAAATATGTCCATGTGGTTTAAATTGCTTGTTGGATTTTATAAATTTGGTATTGACAGATTCGTCTTAATTTAATGATTTTGATCTGCCGAGAGCTATAGAAAATACAATGTATCTTTGAAAATCTCAATTTGACCAATTCTTGTTTAAAGGATGTAAGCTTTTTTTTTTTTAATTAAAATTAGTTATCTGACAATAAATAAAGCGCTTATATTTAACTACGTGTGTTTTTAGTAATCTAGTCACATCCTTTTTTATAAATATTTATTATAAATAAAAAAAATCTTTAAATAAAAATAAATCTTTTGATCCATTACATACAGCTATAACTCATAATAAATTATTCTAAATCCAGCTGTTTCCAGGTTCTATCTATCTCGCTCGCACTTATATATAATAGTGTAGCATGACAGTAACGCTAACGTGGCAAGACTAATGATTTTTGACGCTACGGTATAACACTTTAACTTAAACTTTCTTAATTTAAAATATTTTGCCATCTTGAGCATCTATGAAGATACAGCATCATTTTGTATAGCTGTATTTACTTAATTTATAAATTTAATGAAGACTAAGTTTAAGATGTGTAATCTTTTCTAAAAATTTGTTTTTTTTTTATACCACTGAGATGGCAAACAAGCATACGGCCCACGTGATGGTAAGCGGTTACCGTATCCTATGAACGCCTGCAATACCAGAGGTATTTTATTATTAATTATTATTATTATTTATTATTATTTGATTGGAACCTATAAAACAACTAAACTATAATATAAATAAACTCGTAACTCAAGTTGAACGACAGTAATGGTCTAGCGTTTTGATATACCGCCTCACTTTTCAATTCCCTTGGGTTTGTATTTGTGTATATGACTGTTTGTCTCGGTGTTTTCTATGTATAATATGTATAATGATATCAGTCTTCAACTGTCCACTGTTGAACGTAAGCTTCCCTTTGGGGGGTTTGTAGTTGCTGCGCTTGGCGATTGGGATCTTCAAAGCCTAATTGCGGACGCGGCCGCCCATCCCTCGCGCTCCCTTAGTCGCGCTACCTTTAGTCGAAGTGGTAGCCCATTCTATCCCGAGACTAGACAGTAAATTTATTGCAACGTATAATATGATATTTAAATATTTCAGCGATGTATACCGGAGTTCGAGAACGCTGCTTTCAACGTGCAGATGGAAGCCACCAACACGTGTGGTGACAACGGTCCCATGATGTACTGCATACAGACATCTGCCGCCACATCCACCAGGTGAACAGATTTATCTCAAATTTAATTAATACATAAAGTATTCTATGTACTATGTTAGGATATAGTCTATGTACCATTTTTCATTCAAATCTATTCATCACCACAGACTTTTCATTATATTAATATTATTTTATTTTTATTTTATACAACTTAGAATGGCAAACAAGCTAACGGTCTACCTGATGGGAAGTGGTACCCGTCGCCTTTAGACATGAGCAGTACCATGGACATAACAGAGTATACTGTTTCGCCCATTATACCCCCCCTGGCGTTGCCATTCCTGAGGACTAACCTGAGGAATAACCCCGCCTGCGCTAACGGGTTACGCCGGCGGCGCACCAGTGAAGGGTGATAGAAGAGAACGAAAACAGGCCAGTTAGCCCACCATGATGAATTCATCAGGAATTAACCATGATAGTTTCCAGGGGGAACCGCGAGGAGGTCGACCTGGTTGGGTATATTGCTAGCAATAGGATTCTCAGTCTCCATTACTAACAATTCCTTTCCCCCTAAAAACTGTCACTATTAAAAAAAAAGAATGTATTTTCTCGTCATAAAATATAACTGCTCCCTTGTGATACAATATATTATTCAGATGACAGTCTGCTAGCACTAATATGTATCACAGTGTAAGGAGTCTTCATATAGTGGTTTATAGACCATAAAAATCTGTTTCATGTCACATTCGTCGCAAAGATTGTCACATTAATTTTAACCAATTTCAAAACGGGGAGATACTCAATTAGAGTATTCCTGTTTTCACATTTTAGTTATGGTGTGTGCGATGGTATGTCTCTGGATAATTTTATGTTGCGAACTTAAATAAGTTTTGAGTTTTCTAAATTTTGAATTCTATATTCTAAATTCTTAACTTAGAATTCTCAATTGTCAATTCTAAACTTTAAATATATAAATATATGAACCAAATTCGTAGATCAAATTGAGTTTTCTAAATTTTGAATTCTATATTCTAAATTCTTAACTCAGAATTCTCAATTGTCAATTCTAAATTTTAAATATATACATATATGAACTAAATTCGTAAATCAAAACTGTCCACATTAATAAATTAGTAAATCTATAAAATTTAAAAGTATTAATACACACGTGATTCTTTGACAGGTACCGAACGAATGAATGATAGTATTACTCCCCTGCCCCCATCTTCCCTCAAATGTTACTTTTTATAAACTTTGTAAAACTATTATAGGAAAAGTAATTCTTTATACTGTGCAAATATCTTGTATTGGGGGAAAGGGATTGTTAGTAATAGAGACTGAGAATCCTATGGCTAGCAATATACCCAACCTGGTCGACCTCCTCGCGGTTCTCCCTGGAATCTATCATAGTTAATTCCTGATGAATTCATCATGATGGGCTAACTGACCTGTTTTCATTCTCATCTATCACCCTTCACTGGTGCTCCGCCAGCGTATCCCGTTAGCGCAGGCGGGGTTACCATACGTTTTCACCCATCAAAAAAAATCTTGTTTTGTGGGCAAAGGGATTGTTAATATACCCTATTAGGTTGATTTCCACGCGGTAGCCCTGGAAACCATCATGATTAATTCTTTATGAATTCGTCATTATGGGCCAATTGACCTATTTCATCCTCATTTATCATCCGTCACTGGTGGGGCACCAGTGACGGCCAGTGTATATCGATAGCGCAGGCGGAATTTCCATTCCATTATTACCCATTAAATAAAAAAATCTTGTATTATTACTTCGTATGTTATACATGTGTATATTTACATATTAGGTCGTGTGACTTCTGCCAACCAGGCCAGTTCACCAGCTACTATCTGACAGATCTTCATCATGAACAGAACAACCAGACCTGGTGGCAATCGGAGACCATGAAGGAGGGCATCCAGTATCCTAATCAGGTCAACTTGACCTTACACTTGGGTAAGATAAAAGAACTTTATTTATGTATTTTTTCTCAAACAAGCTTGGAAATGTGAGCTTTATTTTGACAGTCTTCTTCGAGATAAATCAAAATTGCCGTACTGGCCAGATACATGCGGGCAGCGGCCGGCAAAAATTGTATCAAAATTCATATCTGTCGTGTTTTGCGGCCAGATAAATTACTATGTAAACTCATATCTGTCCTGTAATTTAAAAATGGAATGACCTTTTACTTCGAAACATGACTACCAAGGAGTTAATTAATAAAAGGTTTTATTTAAATTTCGAACTGGCTTGCAAATAGAAAGCTGTTAATTGAAAAAAAAAAATACAAAGGAACATTATGACGCGTGAAAAATTATTATTGTTCGTATTTCGTCATTGAACTTAAAAAGTAAAATTGTGTTTTTGATTTCCGCGCATTGTTTGAGAAAAGTACTATACAAGCCTTGGCCACAACTAGGCATTGATGGACTCATGTATGTGTGCCTCGGCTACGCCTCGGCCCACATTTACACCTTCGTCCATCAATACCTCAGTTGTTGGCCACTGCAGCAATGTAGGTACTATTATAGAACACACACATCACAAAAATATGAACATGCTCGTATGTATATACATTATGTGTCTTTGTGTAGCTTTAAAGTTTTTTTTTTATAATAAAGTAATAATATAATTTATAATTATAATAATATTTTTTATAATGAAATACTAACCCCACTCTATTTGAGTACACTAATATTATAGAGGAATTTTGATATATATATATATATATATATATATATATATATATATATATATATATATATATATATATATATATATATATACACACATAGGAGTACATACATATCTGTCACGCCTGTCTCCCTTGAATTTTAATACTTATGATCATATTTGTATTATATCATGGTTAAGTTGATGCTTTTACCTTTTCTTTTATACAACTTAGAATGGCAAACAAGCTGACGGCCCACCTGATGGAATGTGGTAACCGTCGCCTATAGACATGAGCAGTACCATGGACATAACAGAGTATACTGTTTCGCCCATGATACCGCCCATGCGTTGCCATTCCTGAGGACTCAGATGTTATTTCTCTGTACCCTGTAAATTCACGCCATATCCCACCCTTCAAACCGAAACACAGTGATGCAAACACAACTGATTTACGGTTGAAACACGAATAGGATAGAGGTACCCAATCAATCGACTTTTGTACAAAGTCTCCCTCTGGTAACATATTATGTTATATGTGTGTTTATATTAGTTCAATTATATGTTTATAATATATTAATATATTATGTATTAATTTTTATATTCCTTCAATTCAATAGTGCACCGTCTACTTATTTCTCAGTTTGCCCAAGTGGTTGACTGGTAGAGAACACCGTTCGGTGTTAAGTCCACCACATGTACATAGTTTAACTGTGCATTAAAGTATAAATAAATAAATAAATATATTACACTACAGGCAAAGCGTACGATATAACATATGTCAAGATCGTGTTCTACTCGCCGCGGCCTCAGAGTTTTGCTGTTTACAAGAAGACCAGCGAGGAGAAAGACTGGGAGCCGTTCCAGTACTTCAGGTAAATACTTACTATCAAGTGACGTTCATACGACGTCATTATTTGTTCATTTTAGTGTCGTCATAGAAAATTATTAAAGAATGTCGTTATTTTAGAATCGCATATGTCATTTTGCTGCTTGAAGTCTCACTTTTTAACTAAAAATATATAGTAACGTTTAATACTATGCATTTGTTTATATATGTATTGTATATGTATGTATGTTATTATTATTATAATATATAATATATTTATTTAAAATTTGTGTATGATTGTTTTATTAGTATTCTATTCGCATTGTATTTATGTTAAGTTCCTTTCTTGTACCTTTCCTGCACTAGATTGCTTGCTAACCATTTTGTCTTTCATTGCATTGCGTTGACTAGAAGAGATCTGTTTCCCACTCTTTCTAACATGATGTTACACTAATCGCTGTATCTTTTTTTACAAGGATCATAAAGAATATAAATTATATATATATATATATATATATATATATATATATATATATATATATATATATATATATATATATATATATATATATATAATAAAAAAAATTTAGTGCTTAATATTATATCATAGTTAATGTCTAAATTTCTTCCCAGTGCGTCCTGCCGGGACACTTATGGAGTGCTAGAGCAAAGATCAGCGGACATTGGCGCCGAAACAAGAGCACTGTGCACTAGTGAATATTCCGATATATCACCACTATCTGGTGGTAACGTACTGTTTTCCACACTTGAAGGTCGACCTTCTGCCTTCACGTTTGATAGCAGCCCAGAGCTACAGGTATCGCTATTGCTTTTTCATATCCTTTTTTTTTTCTTTAGAGACTAAAAATTGTTATTTAAAAAAAAATAGTCATAGCTCTAATAACTTCTTCTAGGTTCATATAGGCTAGTCGATTTAGAGTTATATTAAATATAATACTTTAACAGTGTTACGTTTGCTCCTTTTTTTTTATTTTTTTTTTTCAACTTTTTTCCAAAGATATCGATAAAAGAAATTTTTAAAAATTAAGCAAAATTAGGGTTTTTTTTTTGTGTTCAGCCAATTTCAAAAGAAGGAGGTTTTCAATTCAGTTAATATTTTATTACGTTTGTTATCACATAACTCCGTCAGTCATATAACGATTTGTAAAATTAATTATTATCTAAAATATATAGACATACATACAGATTGGTCCTATAGAAATTTTATCAAAATCGGTTCAGCAGTTTAGACTTTAAATCAAAATAACAGGTTTAACCACAATTTCGGTTTTTTTTTGTCTCAAATTCTTATTTTCTAGTTGAAGATGTTTATGAAGCGATAATTGTGCGGATTTTCCTAGAAAACTATTAATTAGATTAATTAAAAATACTGTATTAGGATTCTGTAATGAATCTAAATATGAAAGAAATTAATAAAAAGCTATCCCAGTAATTAAGAAATTTAAATATTTACTTGCTAATACATCTTGCTTGTATTTGTATAGAAAAGCCAAATTTAATTTACCTAGGAACACTCTTAATAGACAAGCTACAACTAGCTAAAATCTGTTTGAATTTGAATGTATTTAGAATTAATATTATAATGGGAAAAGTTCTATTTTTTACATCTATGTTTGTTTATAATGGATAAACTCAAAGTTACTTAACAGATTTTAAAAATTCTTTCACCTATACAGAGCTATATAGAGCGAATAATATATACTGTAAAAAAATTACAGAAAAATCGTGCGAAACTGGAACGGATTGGTAGTTTTACATAAAGTTCTCCCCTCCACGAGAATACTAATTTATTTATTTATTTATAGCAAGGCAACAGATTACAAATTAATACATTTATATAATAAATATTACATAAAACGGCATTAAATTTGCACTCCAATAACTGCTCTGCATAACATTCGATAAAAGAATGACGGCTATATATTTAAAGCAACAAATTGGCGGCCTTAATGTAATTATATATATATATATATATATATATATATATATATATATATATATATATATATATATATATATATATATAGTATAAGTTACAATAACTATATTTCTAGAACCTCACAATTAATAAATACATAAATACTCAGCTCTAATAATAATACGAAAAAGGTTGATTGGGGGTGATGGGGGAAGAGGGGGGAGGTTAGTCGTCGTCGCTAGCAATATATACCTTACATTGGCAACCTCCACTCGGTCCTGGACACCGTTACTGTTAAATTTATAGTGAAATGTCTGAGATAGTACAGTTAACCTAACTTCGTCTTCACCTATCATCCATCCCCCACTGACACCCCGCCAGCGTATACCAATAACGCAGGCAGGGCTACCATTTAGAAAACACCCAACAGGAATGGGTGACGGCCACTGACCTGCGCATCTCCCTGGACCGTCTGAACACTTTCGGAGACGAGATCTTCGAGGACGTCCAAGTACTCCAGTCTTACTGGTACGCTATCGCCGACGTCGCTGTGGGCGCCAGGTGCAAATGCAACGGTCACGCGTCAGTATGCGACACTGATGAACTGCCCGATGGCACCAGGACAAGGGCTTGCAGGTGATGCTCTTGTTTTAATTTAACAAATTTTTGGAACGTATTTTAAATTTATTTACTAGCTATATCCTGTGGCTTTCTCTACACGCCTAAGTATATTAAGTATCCTATATATATTAACTCAATCGTGTATCAAATTTCATTCAAATCTGTACAGCAGTTTAAGAGTGATTAAGTAACAAACATTCAAACAAACATACACTGAATTAATAATGAAAATGATTATTCTGGATACTGGAATGGATTGATTTTCAGAGCTCGGATCGATATGCCACTCAATTTTATTCCTACTTTTGAGGCGATTGAGACCCAAAAGGTCTGAAAATTTACGCTATAGCTTCTCGGCTGTAGCATAGTGTCTAATTTAGTATATAATATAGTTATTATGCTTGGCATGTGAATTGGCAACCGCAGTTAAGCTTTGGTTATGTTTTAAGAAGGGCACTGCCCATCCCTCTACGATTAAGTTCCCTTAGTTGACTCTTACCACACCCACAGAAGAGAAAGGGCTGGTCCATTCTATATCGGGACCACACGACTGGTCGCTTTATATTTCAGTAGAATTTAATAACAATGTAACCAAATTTGGTTGAAATGATCACAGTAACACTCTTTATATGAAATTAGTAACAAAGTGATGTTTCACTTTTCAATCGATTAATGATTTTGTCATTTGTTTCGACTGTTGGAACATCAGCAGACTGTCTAATGGTGTAGTCAAATATTTGTTTATTTACTTTTTTGTTGAGTTCCATTGGAACGGTCTATAAGAACTCGGCCTGAATTTACTGGGTACGGAGGAATAACATCTGAGTCCTCAGGAATGACAACGCATGGGGGGTATCATGGGCGAAACTGTATACTCTGTTATGTCCATGGTACTGCTCATGTCTACAGGTGGCGGTTACCACTTTCCATCAGGTGGGCTGTCAGCTTGTTTGCCATTCTAAGTTGTATAAAAAGAAACTCTCTTTTGTAAATGTGACAATCACCATCAGGTTATATCAGCCTTTAACTGTCCACTGCTAAACAAAAGCCTCCATTTGGGCAGTAGTTTCCACGCTTGGCAGGTGGATTGGCAACCGTAGTTAGGCTTTGGATATATTTTAATAGGGACGCTGCTGCCCATCCCTCGCCCTCCCTTAGTCGCCTCTTACGACACCCACGAGAAAGATAGAGGTAGCCTATTCTATATAACAATGTTTTCTAGATAAATTATTGTTAATAAATAAGTTAATTTATTATACAGATGTGAGCACAACACAGCCGGTCGTGACTGTGAGAGGTGTTTGGACTTCTATAATGACGCCCCGTGGGGTCGCGCGTCGTCCACCAACGTGCACGAGTGTAAAGGTACGTTACCGACTTATTTCGGTGCATTGCGAAGTTTGCTGAAGCGTGTTTGTACTGTGTTTAATTTTTTTTTTTTATATAGAATAGATTTATGTGGGGCAAAGGAGTGGAAATGTAATGTACTATTACTGTTTTTGTTTCCTCGATATTATGTAAATCCTTTTATGTGTTCTAGCGGTTGCATAACGGATTGTGTTTTGAGGAGTTTTTTTAAATGATGCCTACAGCCTTTTTATCATCGCACCGCTCGTCTTCTTCAGGGAATTTATCCTCACACGCTTGAACCTAAATGGTCACGTACAGTGCGGTTTCAGAGAAATTTTCTCCCACGAACGCTGAGGCTGTGAAATGAGCTCCTTACCCAGACTTACGTAGAGTGGAAAGACAGTGGGCTGCATAATGCGACCAACCGTTGATAGTAGAACTATCTCTATTCGGTTGGTGATTAATTGCATACATGGTCCATTCATTTTTGTAATCACTTTTTTCTTTTGTACAATTTAGAATGGCAAGCAAGCTGACGGCCCACCTGATGGAAAGTGGTAACCGTAGCCTATAGACTCATGGTAATGTGATCATATGTCTTGCTATTATGAAAAAATAATTAGTGAAAGAGAAGGTAAATTCGGCATTGAATCCTATAAAAAGCTGCTAGCTTCAAATACGTGGTAGTAGACCAATATCTTTTAAATAGAGATTCGTACTTATCAGTTATATATAAAAGAGGGTCAATGTAGATTTTACTATTTTTTTTTTTTTATACAACATAGAATGGCAAACAAGCTGACAGCCCACCTGATGGAAAGTGGTAACCGTCGCCTATAGACATGAGCAGTACCATGGACATAACAGAGTATACTGTTTCGCCCATGATACCCCCCATGCGTTGCCATTCCTGAGGACTCGGGTGTTATTCCTTTGTACCTAGTAAATTCACGCTATATCCCACCCTTCAAACCGAAACACAGCCATGCAAACACAACTGCTTCACGGTAGAAACACGAATGGGACAGAGGTACCCAAGCAATCAACTTTTGTACAAAGTCTCCCTCTGTTTTATTTTTAATCAATGATTTAAGGTCTTGTTATCTATTTATTTTGCTTAAATTTCATCATGTTATATGTATTACAATATCTATAAAAATAATGTGAATAAGTACTTATAAAATTAAATAAATGGGGATCTATATACATACATCTAGTTTTGATTTTACATAATTCATGCTGTCTCTTTTTATTTGATAATTTGTCCTTTGTAGGTATTTGAAAATTGGAACAAAAGAGTGTACAACTATTACTAGTGACCACTAAATTTAATAAAATTCCGCCTTTTTCTTTTTCTGTATTTTTCATTAAACATTATTAATTGGAAGGAAATAACGAGTAAAATATTTCTTTGAATGTTTAATTATTTCGTGAACATCACGGTGATACATGATTACTTAATTATCTAAAACTTATAGAAACAATGCCATTTGACCTTTCTCTATCACATATCATAGAACTGGGCCAACGTTATTTGTTAATGAACCATATTTCGCAACTACGAGTTTAATGTAATAATATCACGATTGATAATTGTAACTATTTTAACATTTTATACGAAGCCAACGCGAGTTTTAAAATATCTGTATTGTGCTACCTATTTTGATATAACTACGCAATATTCAGTAGATTATTTGATAATTAGTTATACTAAAATTGCATGTAAAGTGTATATATTCATATAAGGAATCATAATGTCTTACTTATAAATAAATTCTTGAAAACTTAAAGTTTTTAAGTGTCGTAAATTATTATCTTCTGAGAACAGCAATTTTTCAAGTGTTTGTTATTTCTACAATTTACGTACAAACTATTTAAATACACAAGTATTGAATAGATTCTGAAATTATGCCCTGAAAGTTGAAAAATAGTAATTTAAAACAAAATGTCCTTGGAAGATATCAATTCATAGGAGGGCCTCTTAATAGAGATATTCTTCTTATGGGTTTTCAGATCATAAATTTATTTGAACAAGATTATAGTAAATATATCTTCTCCATCCTATATATCGTTTAAGGCTGTGTGGCTAGTAATTTTTGTTGTTTGTGCAAGCTTTTGTTGTTTTAATGAGCACTATTTAGGATCGTAAATTTTTCGTCTCATAGTCATAAAAATTGTAACACGATATTCAACTCTGATAGGTTAAAATTATAAAGTGACATTGAACTCTGATAGATCATAATTGTGACATGACACATAACTTAATACATAATTGTAACATGACATTCGACTTCGATGGGTTAAAATTGTAAAGTGACAATGAACTCTGATAGATCATGATTATGACATGACATATAACTTAATACAAAATTGTAACATGATATCCAACTTTGATAGGTTAAGATTATAAAGTGACATTGAACTCTGATAGATCATGATTATGACATGACATATAACTTAATACAAAATTGTAACATGACATCCAACTCCGATAAATTGTTACTTGTTTTGGTAATTTGAAATTATAACACGACATTAATATTGCAATAAGATATACAATAAAATTTTGATCATTCCTTCTCATCTATATAATGACATAGATGTAATAATAATGACATAGACATCTGTCTAATGATAGTGATCATGGAGTAGTATCTAGTTATTTGTCTGAGGATTAATCAGATCATAATTGGACAAATGTTTTGAACTGAAACTGTACTTATATAATAGAATAATGTTTTCTTACTTTGTTTATATTTATCGTTACACCTTTTACAAATGCTACAATATATAGTTAATACTTGTTCCCACAATAACTTTTATTACCCAGTCTAAATGTCAAAAGTAATGTTAAGCCATTAAGCTCGACAATAAAATGGCGATATTTGGCGTAAACTTCCGGAAACTTTATGATCAATACTCAACGCGGTAAGGCGTAGTAATCCTGTAGGATTTATAGGCTGTAAATCGTGTATCGAATGTAATTAAAAAAGAAATATTGAAAAACAATGTTGTCAAAAATGTTTATTATATAAATGTTGCTATGTATTAACAAACATTCAAACTGGAAAGATTTGAATTTTTGTTTCTAGTGAATAAAGTAAAAAAAAAAAATACTTGATCGCTTTTAAAATACTTTCGTTTAGCTATATTGCTATATTGCATCTAAGCTGCATTATTAGAGAGTAATATTTGTAGATTTTTTTTAAATGTTACATGAATTGCATACTTCGAGCTCGCCTAGATGACATCATGTAACATGAGATTTGATTTACTTTTTTATTTTATCAATATTCATATAATAAAGTCGTAACTGGTCGCTGTCTACACAAGATATATAAGGAAAACTGTTATGGCTTTATAAACGCAATAGAATCCAAAACAATACCGTATGTATTCATTTTCGAAAATTTCGTCTACTCGTGTGAAGTCGGGTCGAATCGCTAGTATTGCATATTAACTGATAGGTATTTCTCATATTATTATTATTTGACAACTTACTTATGAATTTTTAACAATAATTTTGCATCAATAATTACTGTGCAAAATTTTCGTAATAGCATTATAGCTTGCATATTATAGAGAATGTTTTTTTTATGCAACTTAGAATGGCAAAAAAGCTGACGGCCCACTTGATTGAAACTGATAACCGTTGCCTATAGACATGAGAAGTACCATGGACATAACAAAGTATACTGTTTCGCCCATGATACCCCATGCGTTGCTATTCCTGAGGACTCAGGTGTTATTCCTCTGTACCCTGTAAATTCACTGTCATATCAAACAGAAACACAACCATGCAAACACAACTGCTTCACAGAAACACAAATGGGACAAAAGTGCCCAAGCAAATGACTTTTGTACAAAGTCTCCCTACTATGATGGACACGGTGCTTTGCGTAAATGAGGTCTTAGGTTCAATCGTCACTCTGACTAATTAAATAAATGAACTTTTCTGAATTGATTTAGCTTTGGGTATTCTGAGACGTGCCCTTAGTTTCTCAAAATACAGCTTGATAATTAAATAATTAGAATGATTATGTGCTCTTTATTATTGTTATTACATAAAAAGTTACCTATATATAATACCTTTTTTATATTTAACTAGACAACGGAAATTTAACAAACTTAATATATATATATATATATATATATATATATATATCCAGTTATATATAATGGTTATAAATTAGTAATCATAAGTTTTAAAAATTATAATACAACTTTGTCTTGAAGAGTCATAATTACTAATTTTACAATCAATTTTAAGCTCAGCGCAAGACACTGGGCTAACTAAGAGAAATAACTAACTTAAACTAAGTAGGTACTCGAAGTTCGTATAGTTTATAATAAGATAGATTTTTTTTATGATACTACCTCTGAGTTCGAAATGTTGGTTGCTGAGAAAAACCCGCAAGAAACTCAGCAATGACTTACTATACTTTGCCGGCAGCTTGCAACTGTAACGGCTTCTCGGACAAATGCTACTTCGATAAGGAACTATATGAGCAGTCCGGCCATGGTGGTCATTGCATCGATTGCGCAGAGAACAGAGACGGTCCCAACTGCGAGAGATGCAAGGAGAACTTTTACCAGGGAGAGAGGGAGATTTGTCTACCGTGCAATTGTAATCCTACCGGTAAGTATATAAAATAATACGATGTATAAAACAATTAAAATAAAATGTTTGAACGTGTGGAAAGAAAGTCAGATGAAAGGATGGCGTGTTCTGTCTGAGAGAGTCATGAAAGTGCACGAAACAAGAGATGTATGTAAAGCATTCGGTTCTCTTTTGCCTGCCCTGTAAGGGGCTTGGCGTGAAGATAGATGTATAGATAAAAGATTTAAAAACAATTTTTAGATTTTGACTCATGACTTGAGAAATGTTCTATCGTTTAAATTCCGATATAATTTTTTTTTTTTATTACTTTATTTTTATTTTATACGTAAATAGTAGTTAATGTATTATTATTATATTTAACCCCATAAATATAATAAATATTATAAAATAAATTATACCAAGGAGAATTTTTGGAAGGAACATCCAAAAAAAATGTTATTCCAAATAGTTATTATAATTATAGCTATTATGAAAATGTAAAAAAAACCCAAATCTACAGCAAAAAGTTGCCATATATAACTATGATGTAATTTAGAAATTATATTCATGTTTTTTTTTTATTTTATTTTGAGAACGTAAATAAATTTGTGACTACGGTACGTTTAATATTTTAGGATCGCGAAGTCTCCAATGCAATGCCCAAGGCAAATGCCCTTGTAAACCAGGCGTGACAGGAGACAAATGCGACGTATGCGCACCAAATCACTACGAGTTCACGAACCAGGGCTGCAAGCCGTGCGGTTGTAACGAGTCTGGTTCGTACGAGAACAAGCCACAATGTGATCCCGTCACTGGAATTTGTCGGTGCAAGCAGAATGTTGAGGGCAAACGTTGCAGAGAGTAAGTGCTCGTAATCAATTGTACACGAAATTAAAACCGAGGTCATTAGCGTCATTTTAAGAGAGATATTTTGCTATTTTCCCCAAAAATATGTGATTGGAAAACGATAAAAAATTTTGAATTTCCCATTTGAAAATGCCCCAACGGCCAAGGCCAAATTTATGGGAGGAGGTATAGTATCTTTTCAACCTATGTTGTAAGTTTAGAAAAATATTTTAATTTCACTTTTAAAATATCTCTGTTAAAATGATGCCAATTATTCCAATATTACAAAGAAAGAAAAGAAAGTGTGCTTCGATCATAATGTCGAAACTCGTTTCGTGTAATAACTGGTTTCTGTAACCCAATAGTAGTTGATACTAGTGTGGTGAAATTATGATCATGTCTAAATTAAAGTGTTTTTTTTTTATACAATTTAGAATTGCAAACAAGCTGACGGCCCATCTGATGGAAAGTGGTAACCGTCGCCTATAGACATGAGCAGTACCATGGACATAACAGAGTATACTGTTTCGCCCATGATACCCCCCATGCGTTGCCATTCCTGAGGACTCAGATGTTATTCCTCTGTACCCAGTAAATTCACGCCATATCCCACCCTTCAAACCGAAACACAGCCATGCAAACACAACTGCTTCACGGTTGAAACACGAATGGGACAGAGGTATCCAAGCTATCGAGTTTTGTACAAAATCTCCCTCTGGTGTTACCAATAGCTTCTATTTCTATATGATGTTTATATAATACAATTAACAGTACAATACCAATTGTATAAAAAAAATGTATAGAATCTCTTATCATCATCATCATCATCATATCAGCCTTTAACTGTCCAATGCTGAACATAAGCCTCAGGCGGATCGACAACCGCAGTCAGGCTTTAGAGATGTTTTAAGTGGAACGCTGCTGCCCATCCCTCGCCCTCCCTTAGTCCCTTCTTACGACACCCACAGAAGAGGAAGTGTTGGCCTATTCTATGTAGGACCACACGGCCATAGAATCTCATATAATTTTGTAAAATTATTGAATGCATTATAAAATATGAGGTTTAAAAAAAGTAACAGTACTTTAAACTGTCGGTGAATCAATATCGCGAAATTACACAATAGAAAACAAAATTGAGAATTTAAAAGTGCTTATAATCGAGTTTATTTAAAAAAAGATTATTTTTTTTACTTTGAACCAGTCATGCAACCTTGTCGTGTAATGTAAATTAGGCTTCAGAAGACTATGTTAACCAGGAAAGCTAAATGGAACAAGGCGCCTAATCTGAACATAAAAATTTCAGATGCAAACCAGGCTTCTTCAATATGGATATTGATAATGAATTCGGTTGCACACCGTGCTTCTGTTTCGGCCATTCGTCTCAGTGCAACTCCGCTCCGAAATACCAAGCACACGAAATAAGTGCACGTTTCATTAGAGACGCGGAAAAGTGGACTGCTGAAGATAACCAGCATAGATCGGCTCCACTTCAGTTCAATGCTAACGCTCAGAATATAGGTAAGTAAGATAATTGTGTGTTTATAGTAAGTGGAATAGAAAGAGAAGCGAATGAATTTATGAAAAATGAAGAAGTACGAATGAAGACGCAAATATACTGTGTTAGTGATAAGTAAGTATGATCAATTGACAGCGTTATAGTAAACGGAAAATAAAAGTATACTCTGCTGTCTCCAAATAATAAAGCAAGAGAACGAGTCAGTATTTAATACATATTTGACCGCAGTTACTATCTTTTTAAAAGAAATAACAATTCGGTGCTTTAAATCGTCTAAGATGTTAACACCTGTTTGAGATTTTTTAGCATCTTCATTTAACGATGATTTAAATAATGGTGAATCACTTAACGAGAAACAAACAAGAGAAATCTGATACTAGTTGAATATGGGTTAACATTATGCAAATTTGCTTAATAATATACATTAAAAGTATATTAATTTTATAGCTGTAACATCTCGAGGATCGGAGATCGTCTACTTCGTAGCATCCAGTCAGTTTCTTGGGGATCAGCGGCCTTCCTATAACCACGACTTGAAGTTCACATTGCGTTTGGGCGAGAGTAACGCCTACCCTTCATCGCAAGATATCATACTGGAGGGCGCTCGTGCTTCTATATCAATGAACATTTACGGACAAAACAACCCTGAGCCGTCTGACCAGGTACGTATTCTAAGATCGGATTTTGTTGGCTATCTGCTCAAGCGATTGGTGCAAGGCGATTGTTTTGTTCTAACTTGTTAACGCCTATCTTTAGGGACTACAATCTATTGTTACAGCCACAAGAATATACCTTCAGACTTCACGAAGACCCTCGTTACGGATGGACACCCACTTTGTCCAACTTCGAGTTCATGTCAATTCTTCAGAATTTAACGTCAATAAAGATTAGGGGGACTTACAATAAAGGTGGAGTGGGGTATCTGATGAATTTCAAGTTGGAGACCGCGAAGGCAGGAAGGGAGAGGGGTTCAGCGTCAGCGAATTGGGTGGAGAAGTGTACTTGCCCTGGTGCTTATGTGGGTGATTATTGTGAAGAGTGCGCTCCAGGGTACAAACACGAACCAGCCAACGGTGGTCCGTACTCCACGTGCATACCTTGCGACTGTAACGGGCATGCGCATATTTGTGACACTGCGACAGGTAAGGGAAATTTTAAAATTATGTATTTATACTTTTCATACTTAAGATTACTATTTGAATTGTTATTTTTTATATAAATAGTGCATATACATACATACACACATACATACATACATACATACATACATACATACATACATACATATCTGTCACCTCGGTCACCCATTAAGGTAGGCAGAAACAATGGAACGTCAAATGCTTCGATTCAAACAAACCTCTTTCGCTTCTTTCACATTCACCAATATTTTCATGTTGAAATCGAAGCATTTGGCATTCCATTGCTTCTGCCTACCCTAATGGGAGACCGGTAATGTATAATTACTATTTGTATGAAAAATATGATAATAAATTAGCATTTTGAATTTTACTTCATTAGATAGGTCTTAAGAAAATGCATGATCAAATAATATAATATCAAATAAAGTTCTCTAACTAGTAAATTCGTTAAAATTGAATTCTTGTATATTATGCAATTTACAATGGCAATCAAGCCGACGGCCCACCTGATGGAAAGTAGTAACCGTCGCCTATAGACATACGCAGTACCATCGCCATAACACAGTATACTGTTTCGCCCATGATACCCCCTATCCGTGTCATTCCTGAGGGTACAGGTGTTATTCCTCTGTACCCTGTATTTTCGCTGCTAAATCCCACCCTTCAAACCGAAACACAGCCATGCAAACGTGAATAAGCGAATCACAATTTCTTATCTTTAACTTTTTAAAAAAGACTTAATGTTTTTAAAAAGAATCATATTTATAACGGTAAAGTCGTGGAATCAATCGTCAATACACATTTTTATTTTATCTATCTATCTATCCTATTTAAGAGCTGCGCTCTTGTCGGTGGAGCTCTCGCCATTCACTACGATTTTCAGCGAGTCTCTTCTCTTGATACGACACGACACCAATTCCTTCCTTGATCTGCCTGATGTAACTATGTCTCGGTCTCCCTCTTCCCCTCCTTCCTTATATCTTACCTTCTATTATAATGTTCATGTTCGTCGTGTCGTATCAAGTGTCCCAACATTTTTCCTCTTCTGTCCTCAATAGTTCTAATAGTTTGTCTTTTTTCCTTAACCCTAAGCAGGACCTCCTCATTGCTAATTCGATCCCTCCAGCTAATTTTCTCCATCCTTTTATTTTATAATAATAATAATTTATTTGTTCAAAAACACAGTATGTAGATGTTAGTACTAAAATGTTATGAACATGTGTGTTTTGCCGAAACAATGGCATGCAAAATTTAAATACAATAATGTCATAATTCACTTTCTCCAGGTTTTTGTATTTGTAAACACAATACGACGGGCAGCAATTGCGAACTCTGCGCAAAAGGTTTCTACGGCAATGCCATTGCGGGCACCCCTGACGACTGCAAGGTCTGCCCATGTCCAAAAGACAGTGGGTGCATACAACTCATGGACATGAGCATCGTATGTACAGATTGTCCAACGGGATATGCTGGTAAGTTGTCTAATTGAATAAATTGTAACAAAATTGTCAATTAAACGTCATAGCTCAGTGTAATACTATCTTTGAAAGTCGTGAGTTGAAATCGATCGACAATACTTTGTGACAGTGGCAGATTGTTGCTATTTTACCAAATTTCGCTCCTAAATTTTATCTGTGATAGATCATGCTGATAATTTTAGGCAGATTTAAAGGATTATAAGAAAATTCACATTACCTAATTTGAATTTTCGATAAAGATATCTTTTTAAAAAGTAAAAACGGCAGGAATCTGCTACAATAGGTCACACTGCTTTGTGAATCAATTTGGATTTCGAATTAATTCATAGATAATGAAAAATATTGATAACAAATCGAATTAGTTTAAGTGAAGTAGGCTCGATCCTTGTTACATCGGAATCTGAGGGCCTACCATGAAATGTTTTTCGAAATTTCGGAGCCAAACGAAACAGAAATTTCATGTTAAAATTACATAATACATGCCGTTTGGAAATATTAAAAATGTTCAAATATTGTTCCTTTGGACTTTTATGATAGGACGTACGACGAATGAAATGTTAAACTCCATTTATTGGTCCGATTTTGGTATAAACAAAAACACTAAATTGAGTCCGAAATTTCGGAATTTCATTTCATGGTAGACCCGCTGATATACTATGTGAAATATGGGCTTGTCGAATATTACTTGCATCATAAGAACAGTATGCGACATATGCCACAAACCATTAGGGATTACTGTCATGAACATTTTATTTGATCGGAGGTTCCCTAATAATGGCGACGATGTTGCAAATCTCCCAAATAATCATTATAAAGTGAAATTCTGTAAAGATGTACGAATGTTAGTCAGTCGGGTTTAACTGGCCTTGAAATTTACTATAACAAATGGCATATACTCAGGATTCTCTTTACTTCAGTCCACTCATGCAAAACCACGGGTTATAGAAAATAAGTCACATACTTGAATTACAGGACCCAGGTGTGAGGTCTGTGCTGACGGTCACTTTGGTGACCCCACCGGTCAGTTTGGACCCTCCAAGGAATGCGAGGAATGCCAATGTAACGGTAACGTGGACCCGAATGCAGTCGGCAACTGCAACAGGACTACAGGCGAATGTCTCAAATGCATATACAATACGGCGGGAGCACATTGTGATAAGTGTTTGAGCGGTGAGTGTACGCAATTTTTACATTCATACTCGAAATTTTAAAAAAGTAGACGTGTAAAACTGATGTCTAATTTTTTAGTTAACATATTTTTATTTTGTTAAAAACTTAACTTGTATTTAAAAATGCAACAGCTGTGTTTCTTAATCGTTCTTCTCAGCTGAAATTGCGTTCCAAATTGAGCGGTAGTCTATAAAAATGCATATTATTAAGTTTACTCGAATAAAAATTATTTATTACTATTTGACTCGACAGATGTCGTTCTGTCAAAGGTTTATAAGACTAGCTGTTCGTATATATAAAGAATAAATATGGCGTTTCTTGTTTTTGTAGGCGATTATTACAATTTTTATCTTCATAAGACCCCACCTTGGACTTTAATGAATATTTGAAGAAAAAAATAGTAGTATAGGTCCAGCCGTCTTCGAGTTTTGCGCTTAGCAACACATTTAGCCATTCAGTTTTATTCGGCGTCGCACGGATGGACATTTTTAATATTTCCGTTCACTGCTCTGCTCCTATTGATCGTAGCGTGATAAAATGTATACTATAACTTGTCCAGGAGTATGAAGAATAATTGTACCAAGTTTCGTTAAAATCCGTCGAGTAGTTTTTGTTTCTATAACGAACATACATATAGACAGATAAAAAAAAAAATACTGATTGCATTTTTGCCATCAGTATCGATCACTTATCACCCACTGATTTAATACCGCCAATTAACGCCATATTTTGGAAATATATTTCATGTACAGAATTGACCTCTCTACAGATTTATTATAAGTAGGTATAGAAAATTATTTATTTAGCCGAATGTACCATATAATGGTTTGTTTATTTAGTTAATAATTTAGTTGATTACATCAGACCAAGTTATTAATTAATCGGTCTTGGTAAAATGATGGTTTCATAAGAAATGTATTATCTATGGTAACTTGTTCATCATGGAAAATTTTAAACATGTAAAAGAAAATAAGTCAATTTTTGGAGCTTAAATTTCTCCTTTTTGAAATGGATCTCTTTTGATGATGATAAACTCTGTTATAATTGAAGCTGAAACTGGTATTTCCTTTACAGTGATCTAATTGCAAAATTAAGAAGAAAGAAATAGAATGTAATGAAACATTATCTATTCTCGATTCGATAACCACATCGCTTTATTAGTTCTGTAGGTGGTTTACACACATAGAAATACATTGATAATGATGTTATTTCTATAATATTTACAGGATATTTCGGAGATGCCCTCGACCAGAGCAAGAAGGGTGACTGCAAGCCGTGCCAGTGCCATGAAGCTGGTACTCTAGAGAGTCCTGAAGGTCCGCCGCTATGTGACGGTCTTACAGGCTTCTGCTCTTGCCGTCCACACGTCATAGGAAGAAACTGTGATAAATGTGAGGTAAGAGATTGTTAGTCCAGTATAGCTATAGTACATTATTGCAGCGGCCAGCAACTGACGCTTTGATGGACGAACGTGCAAATGTGGGCCGGGGCGTAGCCGAGGCACACTTACGTGAGGCTTGTATAGTACTTTTTTCAAACAATGCGCGGAAATCAAAAACACAATTTTACTTTTTAAGTTCAATGACGAATAACGAACAATAATAATTTTTCACGCGCCATAATGTTCCTTTGTTTTTTTTTTTCAATAAACAGCTTTCTATTTGCAAGCCAGTTCGAAATTTAAATAATACCTTTTATTAGTTAGCTCCTTAGTAGCCATATTTCAAGGTAAGAGATCATTTCATTTTTAAATTACACGACAGATATGAGTTTACATAGTAATTTATCTGGCCGCAAAACACGACAGATATGGATTTCCATACAACTTTTGCCGGCCGCTGCCCGCATGTATCTTGCCAGTACGGCAATTTTGATTTATCTCTAGGAAGATTGTCAAAATAATGCTCATATTTCCAAGCATGTTTGAGAAAAAAATATAACTATATATATATGTGTATATATATATATATATATATATATATATATATATATATATATATATATATATATCTCATGTACAAACACCGTTTGTTTACAGTTTTTTTTCGATTAGTAAGATATTTTTCTTTTTCAAAGAAGATTCTCATGAAGAGAAACGTTGGAAAAATTGCCAAAAAAAATTGTAAACCCCTGATTTTACTTTATCCTTTGCAAAACGACATCTGTCGGGTCAAATAGTTTTTTTTATGCAACCATATTATAATTAACAGGACGGCTATTACAATATCAACTCCGGTGAGGGTTGCAAGCCGTGTGACTGCAATCTGGAGGGCTCCTACAATTCAACGTGCGATCCAGTTACTGGACAGTGCTACTGCAAGCCCGGAGTTTTTGAGTAAGTTTACGTTACAATACTAGCTATTTTCCGCGGCTTTGCCCGCGTGCATCAGTATATAAGGTCCTATATATTGAATTAGTATATAACATGTATAAAATCCACTCATCTGTTTAAGCGTTATGAGTAACTAACATCCAAACATTCTTCATTATTTGTTATAGTCATTCAAGGCAACTTTCATATTTATAATAATAGTAGAATGTTAAATAAGCTGATGGAATATTTAATGGAAAATATTAATTATTGTTAATTGATATCATGTGATAGTGCTGGGCCCATAACTTTAAGCTGTCTTCTACTTATCGACTTACTTTTTAAGTACTCCCCCCACGAATACTCAGGTTGTGGAATGAGCTCCCTGCCGAGGTTTTCCCAAGAGACTACAGCATGGGGTTCTTCAAAAGGGGGGTAAAGAGGTTTCTTCAGGGTCGGCAACGTACGCGTAATACCTCTGGTATTGCAGGCGTTCATAGGCTACGGTAACCACTTACCATCAGGTGGGCCGTATGCTTGTTTGCCACCTCAGTGGTTAAAAAAAAAAGTACTTTTTATGTACTGTTATAACCAGTTCGTAATAGCAGCTATTTCTAGAAAATATCTCTTAAAAGAATTTATAGTTTGACCTGTAATACAAAATTTTCGGTAGACATTATTATATATCTTCCTATTGTATATTTCAAGACTTCATTGATGTGAATGCCAAACCTTTAAAAAGCAGGATTCGTTGTTTATGACTAAGGCAGTATAATTTCTGATACAAAAATAATATTTCAGTTCTGAGGTGTGTCAAAGCACATAACCACCTTATTTGCTTTTGGCCACTAACAAAAGTATGATGCAATCGAAGAGTGAATAAAATATAAAAATTAAAAACAGGTTCTATTATTTTATCGTTAATATAACCATTTATAAAATGTACATCTTAACTCTTTCATGTTTGTGCAAAAACCGTCTGCATGGTTACCTTTCCCTCATTTTCTGCGTGAAGAAGTTGTCTCTTTTTCAGTTTTGGAATATGGCAGTGAATTGGGATTCACAAAGTTTCATTATAACACTTTTTGCAAGAATGTTTTTTTTATATGTGAAATAAATCAATGTGATATAATTTATGTTCAAAATTAAAAGAACAATTATTAAAAAATAAATTTGACAGCTGTTTTTTTTTCTGCAATGAATATTAAAAAGGTATCCATACACGATCAACTTAAAGCGAACTTGGTCTTTTATATAATTTTTTAGCATACAATGTTATGATGGAAACTTCCACCATCATGCAAAGAAGGGTTAAGAATTGTATTATTTCAAGTTTTTTGTCTGTTTACAAGCTTAATTAAATTATTGCTTTATTCATGTCCACAGTAAACACTGCGACCGCTGTCGATCATACCACTACGGATTCTCCACGGAAGGTTGTAAAAATTGTGACTGTGACAACTGGGGCTCTACTGATTACCAGTGCGACATGTCTGGCCAGTGCTCCTGCCAGGAGAACGTAGAGGGGCGCCGCTGTGACAGGTCTGTTTGGAACCTAGACATTGCTTTTCATTTTCTTATAAAGACTAGGGCTTACGCCGGCTTTGTACTTTTCTTTTTAAAAACGCAGTTTGTCACTCACTGGTAACATATAAATTTATATAATGAGTTAAGTAGTTTTTTTTTATTTATCCATTAAAAATAATGAAATAAAATTTTTTTTTCTCTTTATAATATTAGTTTAGACTAAAGTCGTAAAATATATTGAAAAATCTTAAGTTGAACTGCTATCTGGAAAATTCTATATCTAAATTGTAAAGTTATGTGCTCTTTTTTTTTATTATTTTAGTTATATAACCAAGAGCGGAATCATATTACAATTATAGATCAATATTGAAATAAAAAAAGCAAATGTAAAATCTGGGGCCCTAACGTAACAAGTGTTACGTGTTATTGAACTAAATAAAAGAAAAAGTGTCAAAAATTATATGAATTATAATTGGTCAATTCATAATTTGATTTTTTAATTTTTTAAATTTACCACATAATTCTTTTTATAATTGATGTTATTTGTTAGATGTATGGAGAACAAACAGAGGCGAGCTGACGGGCTAGGATGCGAGGACTGTCCTCCTTGTTACAACCTAGTACTGGACGCGGTCAATGAACATAGGCGTGAACTGAGAGACCTAGATGAAGTGAGTATACTCTTGTAATTATTTATTTATTTAAAAGAAAAACCAACAGCACTTTACAAATAAAATTAACAAACATTTTATAATAGAGCAGTATGGCCAATAATAGATTTTTCTAAATTAAATTCTGTAGATTATGTACTTGGTAATTGTTAAAGAAAAAGCAGAAAAAATAAACAAATCAATCAGGTAGGCAATCGTTTAAGTTACAAATATATATTCAATAATAAACATATACATATGCACCAATACACAAATACATACACGCTTGCACGCACGCACGCACGCACGCACGCACGCACACGCACACGCACACACACACACACACACACACACACACACACACACAAGCGACCTGTGGATACTAAAATTAATTCGATATATAAATTTATTTGACTACCATCAACTTACAATTTAACAGTATCAATAAATTAAATACAGATCTTAGCGAAAATCTCCAAAGCGCCTACAGTAGTTGAAAATGCTGACTTTGACCTGGAACTGAAACGTGTGAGAGCTGAGATAGAGCAGCTGGTGAAGGAAGCCCAAGCGGAGGCCGGCAACAACGGAGGATCCAGCTTGACTGATCACCTCTCGGAACTGGCCAGCCGGCTTGCGGATGTCAAGTATGCTATCACAAATTGTAAATTTATATATGTAATATACCAGAGGGAGACTTTGTACAAAAATCGATTGCTTGGGTACCTCTTTCCCATTCGTGTTTCTACCGTAAAGCAGTTGTGTTTGCATGGCTGTATTTCCGTTTGAAGGGTGGGATATGGCGTGAATTTACAGGGTACAGAGGAATAACACCTGAGTTCTCAGGAATGGCAACGCATGGGGCGTATCATGGGCGAAACAGTATACTCTGTTATGTCCATGGTACTGCTCATGTCTATAGGCGACGGTTACCACTTTCCATCAGATGGGCCGTCAGCTTATTTGCCACTCTAAGTTGTATAAAAAAAATGTTAGTGTGATTGATAAAAGAGCAATAATTTACATAATAGGTTTTATTCCCAAAAAAAAAAAAAACATAAACTTCATTTGTGGTAAAACTACTTATTCTCATTAAAAATTAATTTACTTAACTGATTTTGATATAACTTTTACGAGAGAAAAATAATTTACTAAAAAGGTTTATAAATGATGGAGTTATGAGGTAATAAAGATAAAAAATACAACTGAATTGAGAAATCCGCTCCTTTTGTAAAATCGGTTGAAAATGTTGGTTCCCTAAAAAATATGTAGAAAAAAATTTAATTTGTTAACGTAAATTCAAGTCCTTAGCATCCTTGTCTATTTTCTACTAAAGAAATTGAACATGTTCCTTAAATAACCTAATTAAAGATATGGCAGGATTCTTTTTTTTTTGTTGTCATGCGACTATAATTTTTTTTTAATTAGTTTTCTGATTATGATCTAACTCTGTATAGATAAATGTATCTTTTGCATGAGAAGATATTAAATTATTATAAGATATATTAGTACATTACTGCAGCGGCCAGCAACTGAGGCATTGATGGAGGAACGTACAAATGTGGGCCGAGGCATAGCCGAAGCACACATACGTGAGTCCATCAATGCCTAATTGTGGCCAAGGCTTGTATAGTCAATGACGATTAACGAAAAATAAAATTTTTTCACGCGCTATAATGTTCCTTTGTTTTTTTTTTTTCAATAAACAGCTTTCTATTTGCAAGCCAGTTCGAAATTTAAATAATACCTTTTATTAGTTAGTTCCTTGGTAGCCATATTTCGAAGTAAAAGGTCATTTCATTTTTAAATTACATACAAGTTTTGCCGGCTGCTGCCCACATGTATCTGGCCAGTACGGCAATTTTGATTTATCTCGAATTGTGATTGTCAAAATAATGCTCACATTTCCAAGCATGTTTGAGAAATAGTAATTTTATTATTACATTTGTTTAAATTTGCTTCCTTCGATGTTCAGGAGTATGCTGTTGAAGACGGAACACCAAAGATACGATGGCAACGAAGCGGTAGAAAATAGCCGACCCAACTTGTCCAAAGCAGAAGAAACGATTAAAGCTGCTCAGAAAGAAATTGAGGTAAAATTATCAATCGTGATAATAACAGATACGAATGCTAATGTAAACAATTTGTCGGATTATTAAGTGACATATTGTTATAAGAGATACTTCACTTAATACATTATAATTAACTGACAATTTCAGTTACAAAGATTATATCTAATTCCATATTTTTTTTTTAATGGATGACAATGGAATGGTAACCCCGCCTGCGCTAACGGTATACACTGACGAGGCACCGGTGAGAGATGATAGTTGAGGATGAAAACAGGTCAGTGGGCCTATAGTGATGAATTCATAAAAAAAAATACAATCAAGAGATGGAGGTCGACCTGATAAAGTATATTGTTAGCAATGGGGCCTCTAGTCCCATAACTAGCAATCCCTTTCCCTCTTCTAATTCCATATTAGATATGAGTATTTTGAACAACTCATTTGTCTAATTATTATTTGAACATATTCTATTTAATAGACATTGGAAAAAACAAAGAGGTTATAATATAGTTATTTAAGTCTCTATGTAACAGTAAATAAATAGTTTTATGATAGTTAAAGAATTACTATATATAGGGAACAAAACATTACACCATTATTATATCAGCTTTTAACTGTCCACTGCTGGACATAAGCACACATTCTCCTAGGAGGATTTTGCCAGTAGTTGCCACGCTTGGTAAATGGATTGGCAGTTCAGGCTTCGGAGAAGATTTAATAAGACGCTGCTGCCCATCTCTCGCTCTCCCTTAGTCGCCTCTTACAACACCCACGGGAAAGAAAAGACTGGGCTAGATATTACGAGATGTTTTGAATTTTCAGGATGCACTGCAGTATTTAGAAGGCGAAGGTGCTGAAGCGCTAAACAAAGCTAGGGAGAGATCCGATCAATTCGGCAAACAGTCTGGCGAAATGTCCAAATTGGCTAAAGAGTCGCGTCTCCAAGCTGAAAAATTGGAGAACGAAGCGAAAAATATAAGAGAAATAGCGGAGAAAGCTTTTAATACTTCACTAGCTGCCAATAAGATAGCTAAAGATAGTATCAATAAACAAGCTAATATAAGGTAAGGTACAGCTACAAAGTGTTAAGTTTATTATTATGATTACTACTACCTCTGTCCCATTCGTGTTTCAACCGTGAAGCAGTTGTGTTTGCATGGCTGTGTTTCGGTCTGAAGGGTGGGATATGGCGTGAATTTACAGGGTACAGAGGATTAACACCTGAGTCCTCAGGAATGGCAACGCATGGGGGGTATCATGGGCGAAACAGTATACTCTGTTATGTCCATGATACTGCTCATGTCTATAGGCAACGGTTACGACTTTCCATCAGGTGGGCCGTCAGCTTGTTTGCCATTCTAAGTTGAATAAAAAAATAAAAAAAATAATGGCTTCATGCACTTGAATTTGAAAATTCCAAAAAATTGGCTTTTTTGTGGGTGAAAATTTAATGGTGATCTCGCCCACGCTATCGCTATAAACAGGTTAGGCACCAGTGAAAGAAGATAGGTGAGGATTAAGTGAGGTTAGCTGACCCGTCGTGACAAATTACACAAGAATTAAACCACGATAGTTTCCAGGGGAAATCGCGTTAGAGGACGATGTAATAGGGTATATTGCTAACAACAGGGCTGTTAGACCCCATTACTAACAATTCATTTTCTCCCAAAAGTTTGGGCTTAGTTCTGTCTTCAATCCTCTTCAATATAAATCGACGAAGAGTTTGAGAAAAAAAATTTGAATTGAAGCATTTGGCGTTCCATTGTTTCTGCCTACCCTAATGGGAGACAGGCGTGACAGATATGTACGTATGTATGTAAAAAAAATTTTTTGCAGCAACGAAATCCAAATTTTCTCCAACGACGTGAACGTGGCTTCTGGCAAACTAGGCACCATAATGGACTTGGCCGATCAAGCTTTGGACAAAACTAAGAATGTTCTCGACGAGGCGGTGAGCTTGTTCGCTAAGGTCAACACCACTGTGCTATCAGACATCGATTTGAAGAAGTTACGCCAGGAAGCTGCGGCGATGAATAAAACTGTAAGTGATGTTGTTTCTGACATTAATATTCTATTGTAAATTGACCTTAAGTCAGTTCCTGCAAAAGTGTGACAGAGAAGGAGTTATGTGCCGATTTTTAAATAGAATCATACATAATTTTTACAAGTTAAAGCATTTGTTATTAAATAAATAAAAAAATAGATCGTATGTTCAATTTATGTGTTCCATAGATCGACGACAAACTTTCTGACTATGAGCAGCTCGTAGACCAAAATGAGAACACCCGTCAAAACCTAGTAGAAGCCACCAGAAAGGGGAAGCAGCTGTTAGACCAGGGTCAAGACAGACAGGAGGAGTTGAACGACCTTCTAGCCAAGTTGGACGAGCTACAGGAAGAGGCCAAGAACAATGTTAATTCCACCATTGCGACTTTGAAAGACGCAAATGAAATTTATAAGACGTTGAAAGGTATGTTATTTTTTTAATAGCTTGACATATGTACTTAGGAAATCAGAAGCTGTATGTAATACATAATTATTATTCATGTCAATAGATAATAGTACTTTGTATCGGAAATAAGCTATTATGATCGATTCGTGCTATTATTAATATAGTTAGAAAACAGTTTTTAACAACGAACTGGGCCCATAACCTCTTAAATTACAAATTACCTGAATAGTGTTAAAATCGACTTATAAATTTATAGTTATGTAAAAAAATATAATATCATATACCTCAATTACAGTACATTGGCTCGCATATGCTGTTTTTTGATAAGCACATAGTCAGTTTAAAATAAATATATGGTTTACTTAAACAATGATAAACCTTCGGAATTCAACATTCAATTTAATGTGATTTTGTCATATTTTGAGGGAGAGACTGACATATAGACACTCTAAAGTTCAAATTTAAGTCTTTATATCAGTTCTAAAATGCAGAATGCCAAACAAATTGTCAAAGATATTATATTTTATACATAATTATAAAGTTCGATATAATATGCACTACATGATACACATTTTAAAATTTTACTTTTATATCAAATAATTAAAGAGTTCAAGGACCAAGTGGAGGACTCGCGGATGGAGGCTGCACGAGCGGTGCAAGACATACCGTCCATACAGGAGAAGTTAGCCGCCGCCGAGGAAAACATCAACATGATCACTGATGACCTCATCACAGCCAGCGACAAGGCGAGGGACGCCAGGGACTTGGCCCTCGAAGCACAGAAGGAATACGCCGACAAAGCTTCCGAGGTGAGGCCGTAGAGACTCATAGAGTAATATGACCAGACAGACTTTTTCTTTGAGACTTTTAAGTGAGAACGGCAAACAAGCTGACGGCTCACCTGATGCAAAGTGGTAACCGTCGCCTATAGACATGAGTAGTACCATGGACTTATGTCTATGGTATACTATAGAGAGACTCATAGAGTAATATGCCCTGATATGATCTAATATGGCTTTTTTATGTACCTTAGACCGGCCCACTTGATGCAAAGTGGTAACCGTCGCCTATGGTACTACTATCTATAGTAGTACCATAGACTGGGTATAGAGGAATAACACCTGAGTCCTCAGTAATGGCAACGCATGGGGAGTATCATGGGCGAAACAGTTATACTCTGTTATGTCCATGGTACTGCTCATGCCTATAGGCGACGGTTACCACTTTCCATCAGGTGGGCCGTCAGCTTGTTTGCCATTCTAAATTGTATAAAAAAAAGATGTAATAAGGGTCGGTTACACGCGCGTGATATCTATTTATGAGTAATATATATTTTTGTATTTTAAGCATATAAAAATTAATTTACTCTAGCGCCACCTACCCACTTGTATTTGTTCTTCTTTAACCAAAGGTTGTCTGTAAGGTATTGCCCTAGCGATGAAACCGCCTTTTGTACCTTTATGTATATATTTTGATTTATACTTTACGTTACTTTATTTCATTTAAATTGAATTTGAAATTTCTAATTGTCATTGTATACTTTTGAATTTTTGAGTTAAATAAATAAAAAATCCATGGGATTTTCATCTTAAACATAATAACCAACTAATAAAGTTGATTTTCTACTATTTCAGGAGGCACACAAAATAAGAAATAAGGCATCAAAGGCAAAAACTGAAGCTGTCAAACTGAGAGATGAGGCAGACAAATTATCCAGTAAGTATTTTACAATAAATCTCTTTTTATATACTATGGGTAATGGTAAATGTAGTAAACCAGAGGGAGACTGTACAAAAGTCGATTGCTTGGGTACCTCTGTTCCATTCGTGTTACAACCGTGAAGCAGTTGTGTTTACATGGCTGTGTTTCGGTTTGAAGGGTGGGATATGGTGTGAATTTACTGGGTACGGAGGAATAACACCTGAGTTCTCAGGATGGCAACGCATGGGGGGTATCATGGGCGAAATAGTATACTCTGTTATGTCCATGGTACTGCTCACGTCTATAGGCGACGGTTACCACTTTCCATCAGGTGGGCCGTCAGCTTGTTTGCCATTCTAAGTTGTATAAAAAAAAAACGTCGGCAATGGACACCAACAGTACCATGGATATCGCATCAATTCTATCAATTCTTGGACAAATTATTTCTGATGATGCTATAATGATGCTTTTAAAGAGATAAATGTAATTACGTGTCAAATGTCGCTTTATGTTTTTTTTTTTTCTTTATTTAGGTATGTATATAGTATACCTAATTCCAAGCTACATTGGCTAAAATTGAATTTGACAGATTTGGAACTGCGACATATGCTGAGTTAGGTCCTTTGCACAAACACTGCTACATTCATTTTGTTCTTTATATGTTTTTCTTTTTATTCAAAATTAAAAGTAAAATAGTAATGTTATTATATAAATGTGTAATCTTCATGATTATGTTGTTTTGTCATATGTAACATGTATAATTTATATTATTTTTCTTAAACAGCGATTGTATTTAACTAATGATATTATTTAAATGAAAAGTGTAACAGACCGTTGCTGGAAAAGGTGTTGATATTTTTCAAAAATTAAACGGACACTGGCAAGACACTTTTTTTTTATTCAATTCTCAAAACACAACTAAAACTCGTGCACACACGTGTCACGTGGCATTCATTCGGCGCATGCGCGCCAGCATTAATTCAATCAAAGTACTAACAGATGGCGCTAGTGGTTACAATTATAACAAATTACGAAGTGCGAGGTGCGTCGCTCACAAAAAGTTTGTTTAGTGTATGTGTAAATAAATAAATAAATAAATAGATAAATAAATAAACAAATAAATAAATAATTCACGTTTAAAAAGTAAAAATAATTAGAATTTTTTTTAATAAAGTAAATTAATTTAACTGTACATATTTTATAATCTAATGTGATCAAATTCAAAGAAAGATTTTGTTTTAAGCTCGAGTAAAAGGCACGGAGACACAAATTAAGACCCTGGAAATGCAGGCGAATGAGAGTATGCAGTTGACAGAGGACGCTAAAAAGAAGGTCAGTGTGCATTCAAAAATTTCTTTTCTCTTTTTATTTATATTTAAATGTATCACAAAAAACAAAAAGTATTGTATTTATTATGCATCTTATTTTATATATTAGAACCTTTTTCTCGCGACTACGTCCGCATGACCGGAATATCTTTACTGATCGAAATAAAATAAAAACTATATCCATCTTTATCCCATATAGAACGTATATACTAAATTTCATAAAGATTACTTAAACCGTTAAGGTTATAAGGCAACATATAACCTTAACGCTTTAAGTAAAAACAATCAAGCAAACTCACTTTTATTATTTTATATATATATATATATATATATATATATATATATATATATATATATATTTCATTTTATACAGTAGGTAGCCTTCATTATTTTTTTATATTAAAAACTTGATTATATAGATAGGGCATCAAGTCTAAAAACAGGTCAACTTTTGTCAGCTAATTGTCAAATTAGCTTACACCGTTTTTTTTTATCAGTGTTCTATATACTTACGCATAAAATGTATCTTAACGTATTATTTAATAAAGACAATGTGTATTTACGCATTAAAAAGATGCAGAAATTATAAGACAAAATAAATAGAGACGTTATAAAGGAATCACTCGTGACTGTTTATCATGAAAAATTGTAAAAACTAGTTAATTTTCCTGATCCTAGCGTATTTACAACAAGTACAAGAAAATTATTATGTTTGTGTGAAACTTATTTATTTATTATTAATCTAAGGTGGGACTCGCGAAAACCGACACCTGCGAAGCTGAGAAACAAGTATTGAAGGGCCTCGAAGATCTGCAAACTATTAGAAACGAGCTGGCGAGTCTTCTCGACCTGGATGATAACGCTTTGGATAATCTCGGTACGTAATCTTTAAAATAGGCATCGTATTTAAAATCAGTATACGCGATATTTAAACGCAGGAAATTGCGTTTTTTTTTTTTATGCAACTTACAATGGCAAACAAGCTGACAGCCCAACTGATGGAAAGTGATAACCGTCGCCTATAGACATGAGCAATACCAGTAACAGAGTATATTGTTACCATGTCGCCCATGATACCCCCCATGCGTTGCCATTCCTGAGGACTCAGATGTTATTTCTCTATACCCAGTAAATTCACGCCATATCCCACCCTTTAAACCGAAACACAGCCATGCAAATACAATTGCTTTACGGTTGAAACACGAATGGGACAGAGTACCTCTGTCTCGATCGACCTAAGCAATCGACTTTTGTACAAAGTCTCCCTCTGGTCCTCCACGATTGAGACTCTCGCAAAGTATCTCCGATACCCAATAAAGGTTTTATAACAGCGACGAGTTCTGTCCCACTAGGTAATGACCTTAAACTGCTTTGATTTCTTCTTTGTCGTAGTTTGTTGGGATACCTTTATTTAATAATGTAGATAATAGTACATTACTGCAGCGGCCAGCAACTGAGGCATTGATGGACGAACGTACAAATATGGGCCGAGGCGTAGACGAGGCACACATACGAGAGTCCATCAATGCCTAGTTGTGGCCAAGGCTTACATAGTACTTTTCTCAAACAATGCGCGGAAATCAAAAACACAATTTTACTTTTTAAGTTCAATGACGAATAACGAACATTAATAATTTTTCACACGCCATAATATTCCTTTGTTTTTTTCAATAAACAGCTTTCTATTTGCAAGCCAGTTCGAAATTTAAATAAAACCTTGTATTAATTACCTCCTTGGTAGCCATGTTTCGAAGTAAAAGGTCATTCCATTTTTAAATTAAAGGACAGATATGAGTTTACATAGTAATTTATCTGGCCGCAAAACACGACAGATATGGATTTTCATACTTTTGCCAGCCGCTACCCGCATCTATCTTGCCAGTAGGGCAATTTTGATTTATCTCGAAGAAGATTGTCAAAATAATGCTCACATTCCCAAGCATGTTTGAGAAAAATATATAACGACTTATTTGATTGAACTATGCAGTTGTTGTACAAGTAAAATGAGCAATGCCGATTTCTGCTTTCACTCATGTACGCTTTACTATTTTAGAGAGAAGCCTGGATGAGGTCGAAGAAAATTTGCAAGCGGAAAATCTGGCAGGCAAGATCAAGTCTCTCGAACAGGCCAAGAATAATTATCGCGGGTTCGTAGCATGCACTATTTTATTGATTTACTTCATAATAATGAATACTTAATTTACTAACAGATGATAAAAAATGGACTAGTCCTTAATCCTTAATAATCTTTGGTGTAAAGAACAGTTGGTCCAAGTCAGAGCACAAACCAGAGGTGATTTATATATGTAGATCTGACTCGTCTATTTTTGTCGATAAGCAGTTATGCTTATGTATCTATGTTTCAGGTTGAACGATAAGATATGGCAGTAAAGGTACTGGATACTGTGATTCAATTTGTTGAATTGTGTTGTGTGTGATACATTTATGTTACTAAGTTGCATTTATGTGAAATGATGGCTTATCACCATTTTAAACAATCACGTATCTTTTAACTGCCTCTCTCCATCTCTATTTTAATTTTAAAGATTCCTCTTCACTGGTCAACTAATTTATGCATTCTTCTCTAACCGACTCTATCCCGTACCATATTTTCGATCTCCCTATACGACACAATACCTTGTCTTCCCTATATCTGTCCTGTGTAATTGTTTTTTTTTTTCTTTTAAATCCATGTCTATTGTAAAAATCTTCTATGTCGAACTTCTTGCAATATTTTTTTTTTTCTTTAGCTGGATGAAACAATACCAAGCCGAGTGCGATCACCTCGAGAGCGAAGTGGAAAATATTAAATTTATACTCTCACAACTGCCAAATGGCTGTTTCAAAGGGATCACCCTGGAACCGACCGAGGGGCACAGTAGAAACCAGATAGGCCTTTAGATAAACTAGTTTTAAGTCCGTAGAAGATAAAGCATTCGATTCGAAGGTTATTCGAAGGCATTCACCGCGCTATAAGCCGAAAATGACACGTTATGGACTCAGAGGACGGTGTCATGTAATCTGATGGGTATTCCATAGAATCGTTGTTCTTAGGGATATTCGCAAATGATTTTTCGTATCGATCGTTCTTAAACCCTGAATACGGCTGGTAAAACAGCGTTTGCAGGCTTTGATAATTATCGTAGTATAAGAGATCGTTTGGAGAGCGTTGAATGTAGAACTTAGTGTTAGATGCGTTATATTTGGAAAGTCTTTTCATGTGAGATGTTACGTTTGTAACAGAATCAGTCGTCGGTACACAATTGTCGAATTCGTTTAATGCAGACGTCAAAATGTTCGTTAATTTTATGTGAATAGAAAACAAAATTGTCTGTTACGTGCGCTTGAAGGAAACAGACAATGTAACGGATTTCCGGGCGTACGCGATTGATGGATTAATTCTATTTATATAAATCGGGCATTCGTCTCGCGGAAACCGTTAGCATTAGGTCTGTATAAAATTTTATATTTAACAAAAGGCAGGAATTAACAAGACTCTTTAGGTAAACTGTGACAATTTACTTGAATTTTTAAATTATTAAATTTTCTAATTTGCCTAACAATAAATTAATAATTCTTTATTAAGGTTACCAGAACCCACTTTTTATATTTTACAATTTATTACAATTATTATTTACCGCAAATACGGGATATATGTTGGATTTCCAAAGAGATACCGAAGCCTTTTAAAATTGGGAATGACTGAAAACTGACAATTTATTACAATTACAATTATTATATATTTACAATATTTACAATTATTTTTATAGTTAGTTTTAATTATTATTATAGTTGAGTTCTTGGCCACAATGGTTCATGCAGTAAGAGACCAGCCTAATTGTTAACATGGCCAGAATACAGTTCTGTATCTATAAATGATCGAGTTAATTCCTGTCTCTTACAAAACATAAAAAGTACAGCAGTTTAAAAGTTAATACTGTATAAAATTTGTTTTGGCCGAGCTCGTAACATACAAGTAGGCAGTCGAGGTTCACATAGTTCCCAACTATCTAATTAAATGAAGACACAGTCGTTTTCGAAAATACTGATGTAAAATTAATATAACCGCAAATATGGGATATATGTTGGATTTGCAAAGAGATACCGAAGCCTTTTAAAGAATTTTAAAGAATTGGGAAAGACTGAAAACTATTGATGGAATACTTTTTCATGACAACTATAGATATAAAAAATTCAATGCAGTGGATTATGTGACATCGTCCGTACCTCCACGATGTGTTATTAGTATCTTTATGAAATAATAATTTATTTATAATAAATATGATGAATAAATCTTTGACCTGCTTAATTAATATACAGCATTTGTCTCCTCATTAATTTGATTTAATGTAAATCACCAAAAAATTAGGAAATTAAATTAATTACGTTTTAATTAGAGTCTTCAAGGAACTGAAGGGACGATTTAAACTGGTTTTGTAAATAAAACACGAGGATATTGTAAAATTATTTAATTACAAAATTCAATATTGTATAAATATTAAAATAATATAATAATCTCGATCGAAAAAAAAACTTTTTATATAAATTACAATTACATATTATTTTTTGTTCTTTACAATATCCTCGTGAGGTTTTTTATATGTATACTTATAAAAGCAAAGTTTCAAACTCTTCAAAATTTATAAATATATTATAAATAGTTCTATAACCGGATTCGTTGAAATGCTTTTGTATTTTGTTATATTGACAATTATTATTTAAGCTTTATTTAAGGTCTAATTCAGGTATTGTAACTACAGACTATTTGTATACGAATCAACCGTGACTTGGCAACATTTTTTTGTAATTTTACACTTTTGTACTCTTACAAAGCTTGATTTGAAAAATTAAATACGTTATCTTCGACTATAATTAATTACTATTGAGATTATTTATCATTTTAGTATATATTTTGGCTAAACATCCATGTAACTGTACAGGATATATATCTCGAATAGATGGGAAATCAATGTTCTAGACTTAGATATAAATTAATAGTAACAAATTGCATTTATTTTTTTACTTATCTATAGAGTTTAGAAAAGAGATTCCTTATACAATTGTCTCTTTTTTATACTATTTGTTTTTTTTTTTATCTAGATACAATATTTTGTATTGTCATAGTAAATATTTTTTATTTTTCTGGTAAAGCTTTCATTAGATACATATGTTGTATAAAAATACTCTTAATATAAAGAAAGAAAAAAATAAGTTTCTTATAATTACTTAAATAAGTATAAAGAGAAATAAAATTTATTAGCATCCTTTTAAGACAGTGTTATATCAGTGAATCTTATATATATATATATATATATATATATATATATATATATATATATATATATATATATATATATATATATATATATATATATATAATATGCGTTGCGTGAATATGGCATAAAGGTTTTCTTTGCAAAAATACATAATAAAATAAAAATAAAAAAAAAAACTTAAAAAAACACACCGAGTTCAACTGTCAAATTAGTATGGGAGGCTCAAATTTTTTTTTTACCCATATTTCTTTATGACTTTTCTTTAAGACTAGATGACTGTGAATTTCGTATCACTTACAACGCCATCTGTTTAAAGTAATTCAAAGTAGCTAAATTATAGGGGTTTTTACGTTTTTTTTTTTCTTCTAAACCACAACTATAACGAATAAAACGAAAAAAAAAATAAATTTGACAAGCCATTTATGAATTTTAGCGAAACTAACAAACAATAAATGGAATTAATATGATTTTCTTTTTTGAATTGATTATATATATATATATATATATATATATATATATATATATATATATATATATACTAATGATCATTTTTCCGTCATCAGTATCTACATACTCTATATGTAGATATCGGAGCGGTATTAGTATTGCCCATACCTAGTTTTTTTAATGGTAAAATTACAAAAAAATGTTACAAGTCAACGCCTAGTAATATAAATGTGCAATTCTCTGACACAATGATGTTATGAATGATATATTTACTATTTTTTTTTGTCATCATTCGATAATTCAATCCCAAACGTATCTAATACCCATAGGCATATTAAATGGGGGCCCAAAGGGTCGTGCCTCCCTCTCTCTGAAAAATTATCTTAAATATGTCAACATCTATTATTATGTGCATGATATAAGAGGCGTGTATGATCTTTGTATGGAAGAAGTGATAATTATATAGGTACTTACGAATATACTGTAATAATTTAAAAGTAAAATCTTTTTTTTTTTAATGCGTGAAAAATAAACCATTTTTTCTGTATGCCCCTTAATTATATTTAACCTTTAGACAAGTTGCAAACGGAACTATCGGTAAATCTATTTCCGTTACCTTGCACATTGGCGAGAAAAGGATAATAGAGCACGCTGTCTCGTTCTGTTTTATGTATGCGACAGCGAAAACTTGTCTATCGTTGGTTTCATTTGCCCCCATATCTAACGGGCTTACATTTAATACATAGGCAAACTACACCTTAACTCAATGCTTTAAGGTTTAGTTTACTAAGATATTGTACTTATATCATAAGAACTTTATTATAAGTAGATATAAGTATTTATATTATACCTTATATGCATACTAATCATTAAAATCCACCGCAACTCGAGCCCTGAGTTAATTAACGATTTACTTGGCAATAGCTTTAGGTCCTTGTAATAATAGACTAGGGGGTTTACCATGAAAAGTCCGAATATTCGGGCTCAATTTCGTGTTTTTGTTCATACCGAAATCGTCCCTGTTAATGGAGCTTAACATTGCGTTTGTCATAAATCCTACCATAAAAGTCCAAAGGAACGATTCTTTAGCATTTTTTATATTTTTAAACGGTATGTATTATGTAATTTAAACATCAAATTTGTGTTTCGTTCGGATCCGAAATTTCGGAAAACATTTCATGGTAGGCCCTCAGGTCACACACATACACAGAGGCTACTTTTTCAAATAGTATTAGTATTAAAAACAATAAATCAATATAATTATTGCTCTCAGCTTAGATTAAATACAACTAGATGGAGCATCGAGTCTCAAAAAACAAATACGGTCATCCAACGGTTGGTTGACGGGTATTTAAAAAAAAAACGTTAGAGCTATTTTTGTAACTGTCCATAGAAAGAGTGTTAAGTTTTCAGGGTTAATTTATGTATGTGTTTCTTCATGACACCATAACTGCTAAACGCAGGTACAGATTTGGAATTTAAACGTGATATCGAGTGGTGTTGGATGTACATTTTGTGAAAATATTTCTCTCTTTGGAAGAACGGTCGTGTTTTTAATTCGCGGTGCAAAATTCACAGTGTTTTAAATAGTGACTTTATTATTTTTATATCCTTATTCACGCACACACCGTCGAATCGAATGCCCACGTACGTATCGTCGACAATAAAAAAATTACTAACTCAATAACAAAATATTTGGTCTAAATTCTAGCGAAGCGTTTTTTAGAGAAACACTCCATCTAGGTATTGTTAATCTTGAATTTATGCAATGACGAAATAAATGTCTCATCAATCCGTGTATTCGAAGCTCACAGTGTAACAGATGTTATAATAATTATTATGTACTATATATCAGATAAACATTTTTTTTTTCTAGACTAAATTAAAAATGGGTGCCACAGTTAGCACGTTTTTAAATTAATTGTGTACTTAAAAGTACAGACTGCATTTATAATCTGCATTTTTTGTAATTAAGAATTTATAATAATATTAATAATTAATATTAATATCTTGTTACGTGCTTGAAAGATAATTGCATTCTTGTTAAAATACAAATGAACATTGTTTTCTATTATATTCCAAAACATGTTTTCATACATAAAAACTTACAAGACTATTTCCTTGAATGAGAAAAAAGTGAAAAAAAAAATTGTAAAGAAAAAAAATCGACGTTCTGTTAAAAAAGTATACATTTGATATACGTCATTAGAAGACTCTATAAAATTGACTGTCAAATTTTATAAAACCTGTCAAAATTTTGAATTTTTTTTTGGGCCTTTTCTGTCGACCTGAATGGCTAACTCAGATCAATAAGAAAGGCCAGAAGAAGCTACTTCTAAATATTTTAAAGTGATGTACTTATTTTGCAGTTTATTTATTGAGAAATATAATAAACTACCGAAAACCACCGAACTCATGCGGTTTTTTTTTTTTTAATAAAATCATGTTACTGATAACATAGCTTTCTATGGGTGAGGAAAATTTCAAAATCGGTAAAGTATATTTTGAGTTTATCCATTACAAACAAACAAACAAAAAGTCTTATATTTTCTTCGTGTAATATTAGTTCAAATGACACTTCCCATAAGTTTTGATATTGGTGAATTTGATATGTAAAATTATAAGATTTCAAGTGTTCGTCGTAAAAATTAGCATTTTATCACATCTTTCTGACAGAACTATAAAATTTATATACAAATATATGTCTGCAAATGAAAAAATATACATATATGTGTATATCTTAGATTATATAGATAGAGCATCGAGCCTCAAAAACGGGTCTATATTTTGATTTGACAATTAGCTGTCTCGTTTTTTTTTTATCAGTGTTCTGTATACTTACGCGTAAAATGTATTTTGACGTAATATTTAATAAATAAAATGAGTGTTTACGCGTTAAAATGATGCAGAAATTATAAGAGAAATAAAAAAAATTATATATTGTTGCATAAGTATTGCAATTATTTTACAAGCGAGTATAAATAGCATTTCTTCAGAATAAAGTCAAAAGGTTTTTGTCCAATGAGCCGTATGAAATAGAATAATGATAATAATAAATCTTTAATTCATATTTAATAATTAATAATACATTGGTAACGTTTTAGTTGTTTAATTTGGTGTTGGTGCCTACTTAATTAATAATAACAAAGTGAATTCCCCGAATTTATACCGGAAAGTTTTGAGAACTATTCGAAGACTCACTAAAATGTGTCGAAGCAGTTCGCTTCTATATTAAAATAAAAGCAAAAATTCTCTTAAAATTCAAATCAAATGTTTAATATTGTCGCACCAGCCCTAGTAGTACCTATTGGACTCAATTCTGAAGCGCCAATCCTTTAAACCTGTACCTAAAATTCAAATTTCGATTTGTTACCACAGAGTAATTTTTATTCTAAGAACGAATCTGACAGCGCTGGTGGTAATCTGTTATACAAGTCTTTAAGCCTTTTTTTTTTAATTTATACCTAATAACTGAGACGCCTCTAAGGACAAAGGCCTACAGTGCCATAATATGACACAAAGATCTAATAAGAACATTGGTATTTTTTGTAAATATTTAGTTTAAGAAATTTTCATATTATAAGTATAGTAATAATTAACATATTACGGTTTCAATACATAATATACTACTCTTTTATACTATATATAAATTGGTTAAAAATCCATTGTTACTTCGCCAAAGACAAGAGAAGTGTATAATTTTTTTTTTAATAAATGTTTTAATACGTTTCATAACTGGAACTTAATTTTGTGAATATAATATAAATTGTAGTTTATTTATTTGTAATTAAATACAAAGACAAAAATTGCTTTTTTTTTATACACATTCCCAAGTATTAATGATATATCTACAATTAAGCCAAATACCTACAGAATCAGAGTGCTCCCCCCATCCTTATTAAAAATATAGAAATAAGGTTAAAAATACGTCTACATATACAAAGAAAGAATCAAATATCATAAGAAATTTATAAGATATAGAATTTTCACTAAAATTAATAACGTATTAAAATAAAAGGCAAAATAAATATGAGTATATCCCGTATAGTCTTTCAGCCTACGTATACTACAAGGAACGTTATTTATTAAACGGATAAAGTGTGGGGATTGGAAAAATAATAATAGTTCACATAAAAGGAAGAGATCAAGCAATTCGCCATCTTAGAGTATTAATAAAAACTTAATTTACGGAGATTTTGAGTTGTATTACGTTTAGATGAAAAACCATAAGTGCCGAGTTCATCTAGGGTTGCACCACGCGGGAAATCATGCTGTAGCGTGAGCGAGGCAATAACAATGTATGTATGTTCGGTGAGCCGTGTGTGCTGGCCCTAATGTTCGTTGCGCGTGTGTGCTCACGGTACAGTCGAAACTTGTTCGGGTGACCACCGGGTTCGTAAGTTTTCAGGATATGTTTAAAATAAAATTGCAAAATATTATTAATAAGATTTAAAATTATAATCTTGATTATTAACTGTCAACTCAGTCATTTATTTTTATTTTATTTATTTATTTATTTAAGGAACACCAACAGCATATTGCATTATAACATATGGGTAT